AGAATTTTGCCAGTAGGTGGTTTAGTCTTGGGGCTGGCTTCAGAAAGGAACCTCGCTGCCTTTCAAAGCCTGGTCTCGCTATCACGTGTGAGGGGACATCAGATGTACCATCCCAGCAAAGGGTCATTCAAAAGAAGCAGAGTGACAGCCACGGGCTGTTACCACCTTTACCCCCTGGAGCATTCACCAGCAAAACAGAGGTGACAGTAGATGACCCTCGAGGTTGAAGATTCCATAAAATCGAAGGCTACTGCTTAGGTGTCTGCCATTCGAACTAGTCACCCACTGGATTTTTCCCTAATTGACACACCTCGGTAGAACCATCAGAAACCAAACCTCCAGGCTGCATGCTCTGCTGTCTCTTCGCAAAAAAGAATTGGGGCTGACCTTGATTGTCTTTTTAGCTGAGGTTGAGCTTCAAGGACACTCAAGGTAAAGAGGTGTACGCTTGCTCAGCTGTACCCTACACACATGGAGCACCAGCTCCCGGGCCGGGCCGCTGCATGAAGGTGAGAAGACCCAGCAGCTTGGCAAACAGGGTCCTTCTTAACAGAGGTCATGGCAACTGGAGAAAGGCCCCCTGCACCTGGCCGTAATCCCTTCGCAAGTAGCAGAGAACATACCTCAGGAAGCAATGAAGCTAAGTCCTGAAAATAGGCTGACGAGCCCTCAAAGATAAGATAAAAATGAGCTGCAATGTGGAGCTTCCAGTGGCAAAGTGTCAGTTCATTGTGAATGTCAACAGAAATGAATCTACTGTTGCTGAGGACAGAGAACCTTCTTCACACATTCGTAAGACAGACCGACGTACCGTTCCCTTGGAATTTCACTTTTACAGCAAGATCAAGAGGGATGTTTTTTAAAAAAAATAAAAATAAATAAAAAAAAAACAACTCCAGCTTCATCAGCCCTCCAAGGTCTTCTCTGAAGCCTCTGACATCCGTGTCACTCCCGGAGCTCTCCTCCCCATGGGTTCTCTCTTGTTCACGTCACCTGACCTGATTCTGTCCACAAGTGGGAATCAAGCAGGTCTCCAAGGCTACCTCCATCAACTTCATAAAATTCTACTCCTTGAGCAGAATGTCTGATTTCCCTCGGCAATCCACTGACACTACGCTATGAAAATTAACCTGAAGAGCCTGGCCGATATAGCAGCCAGGGAGGGAGAGTTCGAGGGGCTCAGGTTACGAGGGACGGTGCTCCCACTTCACTGCCCAGCGACCACAGGGCTGGTGTGCGCTACGAGGAGCATCTGGGTTACAAGGCTGACGGGTCTTTCCTTGGGACTGTCCGTGACCATACCCAAGAACGAGGCTTTCAATGCGGCAGCTCCAGCCTACGCGATCGAACCCCTTTAGGACCCCCTCAGCGCTGATCCTGAAGTAGCTGTGGGCAGGCAGGGCGTACTCTGAGACAGCACTTCGCAGGGACCATGAGCCCGGGGTGCCTGCACGTCCACTCTACTGAATACCTCCACCAAAACTGCTAGTTTCTCCCAATCCTCACTGGAATCTTGGGTGGGATGGATGAGTGCATTTCAGTTTAAAAAAAGATGTGGGGACCAGCAGATGACGTAGCGGTTATGTCGCTGGGCTCCCACGTAGTCAACTGCGGTTCGAGTCCCAGACCCACTGGCTTAAAACTCACACTGGGTATATTTGTATGCGTGCCCAAAATCCCGAGAAGAGAATGGAGGAGAAGGGATTGTAGCACGACATCCCCCCCTGAGGGGTGATTTCTCACTTTCTGTCTCTCTATCTCTCTGGCAAGTGCATATAGCAAAAACATATAGCAAAAATCTCTCAAAAAAATAAATACTTTTAAACATAACAAAAAATATGTGATTCTCAGGAGAGCCTCACGGGCTCCAATCAATGCACCCCCCCTATAAATCAGACCTTCCCACTCCATCACTCCTCTGGCCTCCTGCCTGCAGACGGCTTCACTGCCGAGCCATCTGTTAACTGGAATGATTAGCACTAAGCTATTGCAATAGTGTAAAAGGGGAGGGAAATTAAACAACTTTTTAAAAGACATTTTTTAAAAACATCTTCTCTCTCTCATCCTCCTAAGTTATTGACAGGAAGTTCTCTCTCAAAAACGAAGAGGACAAAACAGAAAATCAGCTATGACACCCTTCAGACTCTGGATGAACATCGCTGACTTATGTTCGCATGCCTCCCGGGTTCCGGTCAGCCCAGAGGACGAGGGCATGTGGCATTCTCCACCTTTTATTCGGGAAACCCTCCCCACTGCCCCCCAAAGGTCATTCCCAGGTTTCTTCTTCGATTCCATCGAGTTCCTCCAAACACTGTCCCTTGGGTCACTGAGAACTGATCACCCTGCCATCCTGCCATGGCAAATAGCTCGTCCCAAAAGCATGCACAGGCATCGCCATGTGTGTGCGTACACGGGTGCATGTACACGCACACACTCACAGAGCACGCGTGGGAGCGAAGTCAGCTCCCGCAGTGAGGATGCCGCTCTGGTCTCCCCAGCCAGGGCCTACGCAGGCAGACACTGGAAATGGGACAGCGAGGCCCAGCCTCACCTCCCTTGAAGCTGCCGCACTTTGCCTTCAAACCCCGAGGCTCCAGGTGGCCCCACTGCCACTCTGCGAGGTTGGGGCCAGCAGGTGCTGGTCACAAGACCCTCTGCCTTCCATTTCCAGGTGGCGGAAATCTCCCCCGCCCTCAACTCCACAGCACCCAGCGTGACCTTTGGAGCCCGGCTTGCTGGCTGGCCCTGCTGGGCCCCCGCTGCCCTTTGATGCCCAGTGAGGGGCAGGTGGTGCCAAGCATCCCCAGGCCAGTGCTCCTGCACCAGCCGCGGGCCCACGTGGCCTCAGTGCACGCCCAGGTACTTTCTCATGGCTGGGAGGGAGGCCTCCAAAAACCAGCACCAGAGACCCAGGCCTCTGGCTCCACTTGCTGCTCAAGTAGCAACCCGGGAGCGTAGACACCTGTCACCACTAGGGCTGCCGCGGGCACTGTTACCTGTGGGCCGTGGGGGCCAGGCCCTCCAGCAGGGTGTGCACGCCGACAGCCCTCCAGTCTCAGCTCCACCTGCAGGCTTCAGTTCTGCTTTTCCCCTTTCTCCTGCTTGGGTCTGGTTCCAGTCACCATTCGTTGTGCCCTGGCTCACTCCTGGACATCAGCATGACACACCATGCAGCCACCGCAGAGACGAGACCTACCGAGGTGGGGTTTCCCCAGACAAAGGAGCCCCAGAATGCCTGGAGCCCACATCGGTCTCTGTGGGTGGCTGCAGGGTACTTCCTGGGGCTGATAGAAACTCTTGAAGGGAGGATGAGGGGAGGCAGGGGCTTCCTGACTGGCCCCTGCTCGCACGGCAGCCGGGGCACCACGAGCACCGGGTACCTGTGCAGCAGGCAGAGGCACTGTC